AATATATTCATTTGATAAAATATTTTTGCTTAGTTACATTATAATTCCTGAGGTTCAAAATTTAGAATACTAAGAAATGATTTTTCCACTCCATTTTTGATAAATATTACTAGACATTAATATCTATTAAAATTGGATGAATAATTTAATTTGTCCTATTTAATATGAATATAGAATATTTGGTGAGGATAATGCTGAAGATGAGATACAGAATGATAGTCAACATGTATTGGAAGAGGAGGAAATAGGTGTTGATGCCAATGATATTAATGAGATCTTAGAAGAAGGTTTAAATTATTTTATAATACATGTTAATCTAATCAATATTCTATAGGATCTTCAACTAACTCCACAATGTTACACAGCCATCATAGATGCTCCTGTCATAATTTAAATTTGATAGCAACAGTAGATGCTGAAGGAGCTTTAAATGATGAAGATTTTAAAAGGGTGTCAAGATCGACATTTTATAAATGTCAAACTTTATGGAATAAGCAGAACAAATCTCCTAAAAGTTCTGACATGTTTAAAAAAAAATTAGGGAGGTATTTATTAACCCCTAATCGTACAAGATGGAATTCTGTATACCAAGCAATAAAACTAATGGCTTTTTTTCTGGAGGAAAGAAGATTAGAGATTAATTATCTCTGTGATCTTGTTGAAATTGAATATATTAACGATGAAGAGCACACTTTTATAAAAGAGTATACAGAAGTAATTCTAATTAATAATGATTCATTTCCATATCATTTTAATTTTTTAGGTTATGCAATATGTTGCTGTTTCCCTTGAAATTTTGGAAGGTGAGGATAATATGGAGATGGGGTATTATGTTCCCACTTTAAGTATCCTAAATACCAAATTAAAGAGATTGAATAATCTAATCTTATGCCAGCCCCTAGTAGACTCTCTGTTAAAAGGCATTGAGAGAAGGTAAATAAAATTTATATTGTTTTGTTTTGACTAAAGATTTATTCTAACTTAATGTTTAAAGCTAAAAAATTTATAAAATTTTATGATTAAGATATATTTAAAATACTCTATTTTTGTAACTTTTAGATTTCCAAACTTATACAATGATGACAATGTCTTAGCGGCAATGGTTCATCCAAAGTTTAAACTAAACTGGCCATATATAAATTCCGATGATGCCAAACATCAACGCGATAGGCTAATGGCGAAGCTGAATAATCTTACTCCAACAAACATAGATTGCCGAGTATCTACCACGAAGACATCCTCAAATAATTTTTTTGAAATTAAAGATGATTTAATAGAAAATCCAATTGATCTTTTTTTTCAATCAAAAAATATTGAAATGAATATTTTTGATAATTTTTCATATATTAAAAATTTATATATAAAATTAAATACCCCCTTGCCCTCAAGTGCTAGTGTCGAGAGATTATTTAGTAAAACAAAGCTTATACTTTCTGATCGTCGCTCTAGACTTGGGGATGATAATATTGAAATGATATTATTATTAAAATGCAAAAAAATTAAAATAAATATTTATTTATATTGCTTATTTTTTTATAATCTAAACTAACTATATTTTTATATTTATAAATGTTGATTTTTATATATTATTTATTATACATTTACATTATAAGCAAAAAAAAAATAAAAAAAATTTGTTTCATTTGTTCCTAAATTTTTTTTTATAAAAAGTAGCTTAAAAGTACGCGCTACTTTTTTTGACAAATAGCGAAAGCGGTAGCGCGCTACTTTTTTTGACAAATAGCTATAGCGGTAGCGCGCTACTTTTAAAAATAGCGTTTAACAACTCTGATATTATGATTGTGCGATTGAATTAAAAATATAAATTACATTTGTGAATTATGAATATTATATAGAAGTATAATATTAAATGAATGAAAAAAAATCTTATTTTGAGTCATTATTTTTATGTTCCCTGAACCCGGACCAGGGTCCTTTTTAAATTTTATTCCTGTACCAGAACCCGGAATCTTTTATTTTGTCGAAGGGTTCACATCCTTGATATTTTCTACTTTAAAAAACCAACTAACTTTCATGAATGATTAAGTGTATTTTATTTTTATAATTTTCATAAGTTAATATTCTCATTTAAAATATATGCAATGTTTATGTGTTAATGTAGTGTTGTTAAACAGCTCTATTTAGACAATTTTTAAAAAGGGTCATCAAATAACCATTTATTGCCTATGCCTAGAAATTTCGCAAATAGAAGTCCAAACTTTTCTGATGTCTGTTTGAAAAATCAATAAGCATGGGTAATTTAATCTTAGTCAAAATTTTGAGTTAATCGTTTTTAAAATTGGCTAAATCGAGCCGTTTAACAACACTAACTGAATGTGACTCGTTAGATGTTTAAAATCCTTTTCTTATTGCAGATAATATAATAATAAAAATAGTGTAAAACAAATTTTTTTAAATATCACAAAAAATAAATTGTATAATAGTTCCTTTCATTAATTTATTATTATGAAATTATTTAAAATTAAAAAAAAATATAATTATATATACAATCATAAAATAACCAAATATCGGATCGGATCGGTTTTTTAAAAAAGATCGGCCTGATCCAATATTTTCTGAAAACGCTTAATGTCAGTCCATCCGATAATAAATATCGGCCACGCCCTAATTAATAGTAGAATAAAATTTGATTATGAATTGCCTAGTTTATGATATATTTTCTAAAGAAAATTTTTTAAAATAAACTAGACATATTGGAGAAATATATTAAAATTTTGTCTTGAAAAATATAATAGTGAAACAAATTTGTATTTTTATGCAAACACATCATATAATGTAATAACTGAGTTGGTATGTGTTGATTAGGGCTGTGCCGATATTAAATATCGGATCGGCCCGATACCTGTAAAAAACCCGATCCGATCCGATCCTTTTACTAAAAATGCAATTCTTATAAAACTTTTGAGTAATGAAACTTTGAATTATTATTTTTTAATAAAAAAATTTTTTTTTAAATATTTAAAAAAAAAATAAATTTTTTCGAGTTTCTATTTTACATTAATAATATTTTATAAATAATTTTTTTTTAAACAATGCAAATGTTATTTATTTTTTTAAATAGATTTTACAAATTTTTTTATAAAAATAGAAAGGAACACCCAAAGTTTTATTTATTTTTAATTTTTTAAAAAAATAACACCATATATAGAAAGTATGACAATATATTTTTCATATTAATTTAAATATTGCTTGGTTGGGCTATGATTGACCCATTTGTTTGGGTGATTTTTCAAAATCAACAAAAGATTGGGTTTGTATGAAACCCACTATTTTATAAATGCTAATTTTATATTTGTGTTATTTATTTAGAAAACTCGAATAACATTGATGATATTAATATTATATCCCCAGTGAATCCACTTGAATATTGGAGAGTTAAAGCTGTAAAATTTCCAACTTTATCAACACTTGCACGTAAATTTTTGGCTCCTCCAGCAACAAGTGTCCCATCTGAGTCTGCCTTCAGTACGGCAGGGGATATTGAGTCCTCATCGTAGAAGCCTATTGCCTGAAAATCTAGAGGCTCTTATATTTATTAAAAAAAATCTAATATATTATAATTTTATATATTAAATATTACAATTTTATAAACCAACATAAAATGGATATATTATATATATTTTTTTAAAATTATTGTTGAAATAAAAAAATTAAATTATGCATAATTCTTTTATGCATAAAAAATATTGATTTATTAATTACATTTGGTTCAAAGAGGGGTGGTAAAAAATTAATATAAATATCGGATCGGTATCGGATCGGTTTTGAACCAATATCGGAAAATATCGTATCGGATCGGTAAAAATATATGGATCGGCACAGCCCTAGTGTTGATATTTTCAATTGTCCCGATATCACTGGTCTATACCCAACAACGATAATTAACCTTCATAAATTTTAAAAAATTTTGTGCTATTAATCTTTATTTTTATTCTTTTAATTTTAAAATTAAATAAAAAATATTGATTAATTATATCTTAGTTCCTTTTCAAAAAAATTTTCTTTTTCTTTTTAGCTTTCACCTTTTCTGGTGGTATCCTTCAATATCTCTCTCCACTTTTTGTTATTCATGCTATCTCTTTTATCTAATTTATACTTCTTCATATTGGCTCTAACTTTGTGACCCCACTGTAGTTTTGGCCTTCCTCTTTTACGTTTGCCCATCACTTCCAAACTCTCAGCCGTATTTCCTATATAGTTCATAGGCCTTCTCATTGTGTGCCCATACCACCTAAGTCTGTTCACCATTATCTTAGTCTTAATAGGCACTACTACTGCATTATTATTTTTTGGTATCGGTTTTGGATATCGAACAGGGTATAGGCTAAAAAGGTCCTATCAGCATATCTGATATTTTTAAATAAAAATTTTTTTAAAAAATAACTATTGGGATATTTATATTATTCATTAGATTAATATCTGTAAATCACTACACATTATTAAATGGCATTTTACTTTGTATATTAATAAAAAATTATATTAAATATGATGAGTTATATATTTTTTTAAATATCTGTCAATGTTACTAGTTATTTTCAGAGACGCACTGATACTTTTAATTCATAGGATAATGTTAACTAACATTTTTTTTAATTTATGAAGGTTAATCACGATTTTTGAGTATAAGCCAATGGTATAGGTAAAAATTTAAAATATACACCGATACCGACACTTGGTGCATCTCTAGTTATTTTTGAAAATATAAATAGTAACTGGAACTATTTACTTGTGAGAAAAGTATATAACGATAACTAATTAGATATTTATCAAAAGTAAATTAACTATATTTTAGTCTTAGCTAATATTTTTACATTTATTCTCTATAATATACTAAATAAATCTTTCACTCATTTGATATAAATTAATGTTATATTTAAATTCGGATATTTTCTCAAAGGTTTTTTTTAGAAAATCAATTTAAATACTCATTATTTTTATAAATTTTTTATACATGAATGCCATTATATAAATGTGGATACTTTATTTAGTAATTCGGTCTTAACTTTGAGATGGCCAGTTACCATAACCAGGTACTTATTGGAACTGTTGAGTTCGGTTAAACAGTTGGAACCATTCAGAATTATGCTGTGATTCGAATTATTGTTCTTATTAGGAGACATGATTTTTTCCTTTTTTGGTACAAATGAGGCAAACAAGGATTCGGCATTATTAGATATGGCCATTTTTTTAGTTATGATGATCGCGCTTTCCAAAAGCCTCTTCTGTTTCAGTGGTCCTAAAATGTTCCTTTTTTTATGCCTGTCACTTTCGTTCTCAAAGCTGTTAGAAAATTTTGGGGTATATTCAGGATAATTTCGACTTTTTGCATCTATATTAAGGTCAATATCTGATAAGGTAGGCTTAGAAATAAAATCATTTTTGGCTACTTTTTGTTTAATAGTTGCGTGGATATCAGAAGGGGTTAGGGGGTTAATATGAGATTTCGATATTCTTTGTATGCATTTGTCTTTGACAATCTCTTGATCAACGAATATAGGTTGCTCCCAGGGTGCTTTTTATTTGGATGGAATATAGGCTAAAATAAAATTTCTCGTTAAAATCTGACGTATAATAAACTATTTGTTTTCTGTTCATCATGTGTCATTATCTTATAGTTACATTTGGCACAAAACTCAAAATCTATAAATGCAAGTGAGGCTTGAATAAAAATTTGATTATTTATTATTTAAAACAAATTATTATAAGCACATATGTTCCATTTTTTTGGATATTTTCTTTTAAAATTTATGTTTTCATTTATCTGATGAATTTATTACAAGAGAGTTAGTCAATAAATATCAAATATTTCAATTTTTATATATTATTTGTAAACCAATTTGAATGGTTTTTGAAATAGGATTTGGGTTGGTAACAAGGAAAATATTAACCTTTCGAGATTATAAATTAATTTATGAATTTCTGTTTTCATTTACCCATGAGATCCAAAAATCGGGAATAATCGAAAAATATGTAATTGTGGCATTCATCTTTCTTAGCAGCTATATCATCATCGAGAAATTTATCTGGATAGTTTTGATATTTGGTATCATTTATATCAGGAAAATCTTGTGGGTGTTGTTCTTCTTGCGTTAACAAAAAGTCGATGAGCCACTCTATATTAACTATAGGAATCTTCCATTGTAAGGCTTTCTCTACTTTCGAACCAGTTTTGCTGATAAATTAAAAAAATATTTATAAGAGCGTTTGGTAAATAAGCCAGTTTTCTTTATAGTAATCTAATATGTATAATCTCCATAATCAAAACATGATCGTTTTCGTATCTTCCTAATGTATTTAAAATTTAAGGAGACTATATCGGGTAATGTTATTTTTTTGCTCTCTCTACGAGAGTCGAACCACAACCTCCGTTTCAAAGGTGTATGTTTTAAGCATACACCAACTTGAATTAAATTTAAAATATTAATTATATATATTAATTAATAGCTGATATTTTTAAAATTTTGCCGTTTATTATCTTACTAGCTGACAGGCTTGAAGAGTAATTATTTAGTTTGTGTGTATGGTACAAAATATACTTTATTAATAAATTTTATATAAATATTAAAATTTAAGAGAAAAAGAGGTTAAATTGTTACAATGTATATTGTGAGCATGTATTAGAAATACAAAATTTAAATTTGTGATGGAAATCATATTGGATAAAATTTAAAATAGAAATGCTTAAGATTTTGAATTTTAAATATGGGTTATATATTGGCCTGAAAATTTGTTTTTGCAGACATAGCCAGGCCTGATCAAACAACTAAGTCCCATGCACAACTTTCATAAAATTTTGCCATTTATTTTTATTGTAATTTAATAAAAATGTCTTAAATTTAATTTTATATTTAGAATAAAATTTAGATTTGTGATAGAAATCATATTGAGTAAAATATAAAATAGAAATGCTTGAAAATTTTTTAATTTTAAATATGGGCTAGACATTGGCCTGAAAATTATTTTTTGCAGAAATGGCCAGGCCTGATTAAAAAACCAAGCCCATGCAACTTTCATATTCTGATTTTATTTTTAAATGAATTATGATTTTTATATATTTTATTTCAGTTCTCAACTAACAAAATTATTATAGTCTTTGGTGGGCTTGAGAAAATTTTCTCAACAATATGGTTTTCAGAGATTTACCTATCTCCAGGCTTGGGAAAAAATTACAAAATTATCATGGGTTAGCCAAGTTTGAGAAAAAAAATTTTAAACCAATGTCTGGTCCATATTTAAAATTATAAAATTTTCAAGCATATCTATTTTAAATTTTACCCAACATGATTTTTATCACAAATTTAAATTTTATTCTAAATATAAAATTGAATTTAAGATTTTGTTATTAAATTACAATAGAAATAAATGGCAAAATTTTATGAAAGTTGCATGGGACATGGTTTTTTGATCAGGCCTGGCTATGTCTGCAAAGCAAAATTTTGAGACCAATGTCTAGCACATATTTAAAATTCAAAAATTTTGAAGTATCTCTATTTTTAATTTTACCCAATATGATTCCTATCACAAATTTATATTTTGATATTTCTAATACCCTTAATGCTCACGGGTTACATTGCAACAATTTTACCTCTTTTTCTCCTAAATTTTAATATAAAACATATTTAGTACCATACACACAAACTAACTAATTACCCCTCAACCACGTCATTCTTGACTTATTGGCTAGTTAATTTATATTCCATAAAACCTTTTGCATATGAGAAGGGTATTAGATTGGTTTAAACCGCCAGTGTACTTAGCTCCGGCTCTCCATATCATATGTTTAACCTGGATCCTTTCTCCGTCCAAGAAATTCGTTATACTTATGACCTGTATCATTCATATATTTCAAAATAATATATTACCCTACATTTACAAATAGCAAATTATCGGCGAAGTATAAAAAATTAGCAGTGAAGAATACAAACTATAGCCTCTTTTGTATACTTAACCGTGAATCGGTAACTATGAATGAGGGGTTATGCAGCAAAGTAAAATGGTTACATTTTTTGAAAGAAGGAAGATAGGGAGAGAAGGAAGGGATAGAAGGAAGGGAGAGAAAGAAAGAGAACGAGAAGAAAAAGAAGAAAAGATTTAAAGAATAATTTTTTGAGATGACTAGTGTAAAATATAATTAATAAACTTTACAAACACAATAGAAAAGCATCAATCATCTAGATATCTGCAATTTATTAATGATTTTCCAATAAAATTACAGCAGAAAATTGTAACGAAGCAAATCTAGCATACAAGTTCAATATCAATAAAAAATTGTTATTGGACGAGATATTTAAAATTTTATATCTAAAAATAACAGACAATAGGGATTTAGCTAATTAACTGATTGCGAAATGTTTTTATCCTCGTTATAAGGTGAAATATCTAAAAAATTAAAATGATTCTATATCCTTTATGTGGTTTATCATATAGTTAAAACACTTTTGAAGGTTTTTCAAGCGTACGAATACCAATCTAACTAGATTGGAAAAAAACACTGTATTGGAAAAAGAAGGTAATAAAGGGTATAATTTTTAATTACTATAATAAATGACAAATAGATTATTTTGATTTAAATATTTTATACTGAACCAGGGATTCAAATCGAACCGCAATACCGAAATGAACCGTTAAAATTTTCTGAACTATTTTAAACCTTTTTAAAACGGATGTTAAATATACGGTTTATATTTATTTTAATAAAAATATGATGAATTCCATATCAAATCAACCAAGGTTTCAACCCGACCCCCTTCAATATTTCTTAAATTTTGTATACTGGTATTATATACTATAACTAAGAAAAAAATGAAATTTTACCTTCCAACACTGTTTACCCGCTAAGATATGGCCGTTTAAAGCGCGGAAAAATGGTACATTTTTGACAAAATGCACCTCATTTATTTCCAAATATCTCGAGTAATAATTAAGTTAGAAAAATAATTTAAATTTTATTTTGTAGCTTAATAAAAGTTCTTTAAAATGACATAAAAATAAATATGATGAACATTATATTAATATCGAAAACCGGATATGTAAAACCGAAAATTTATGTAGATAGATATCACATTGCTTTTTATTTGTACAAAATCCTAGACTGGGATGAACATGGGTTTAGGAGTTATCACTCTTTATTTGGCTAAAAATGAACAAATTTAACATTAATATCATCATATTTAAATTTAATGAATAGTTATGAAATAATATTAATATAAAAATTATGTCTAAATGATAGGCCCTTACTTTTTTTTATCTTTATCAAATTTGAGAAGTGGCTGGAATAATGAGCTTTGTTAACATTTTAGTTAAATTTTGTCTAGAAGTTACTTGAAAAAATAATTCTAAACTATTTATAATTTTATTTGCCTCAAATTGCATTACATATAATACAATCAAAAATTTATAATTAAAATATATCATATATTATAATCATCCAAGGAATTTTAATAAATTATGACTTTTGTTTTCGTCTAGGGGAATAAAAGCTTGGAACTTTGTGTTCCAGAAATTCTCTTTTCTCTCAAAAATCTACTTTCAAGATGACTTTCTATGTTCATATATTCATTATTGCTCACAAATATATAATTTACCCCTTTGATATTATTTCTTGCATAGTTAAATATATCTAGTTAACAATATGTGATGTTCATATGGACGTTGCAAGCTTGCTCGAGCTGCTAACCGTTTAGTGACGGCCCCCAAAATGTCGCATGGACTTTTACCTTGTGCGGTTTCAAAAAATGTCACTCAGCCTTTATCCCAAAATCATTTTCATGATTGTAGATATTATGAAATCTTTTATTTTTATATTGGTCACTGCTCCATCAGAAAAATAATAAATTTTAGCCACTATTAAATCCTTCCTTCAAGAATACGATCAATTTTTAAAATAAATAAAATGCACATGCGTTATGCTTTAAACAATCTGATATAACCACTAAATTTACATGTTTTATTATGTTGTTCTCACGGTAATAAATTATAAAAGAGTTGATAGTGGCTTGATTATTGGTCTGATTAAATCCTTGTACATGGTTCTGCACTACAAATGCATAGTTTTCTGAAAAGTCCGCAATAACTAAGAATTCGCCAACACTTAAATTAAATTTTGAAAAGTTTCGAATTAATGATTATCATGAAGCTATAAACAAATGAGGAATTAAATTGTTTAATTATTCAATTAAATAATCTACAAATTCGTCAGCGGATTTTGTCAGTGTTTCGAGAGTAGTTCGATCAACTGCTATCCATTGTTTGAATGTTTTATAATCTATAGAATTCTCGTCAAATAATATATTAAGCCTTTCTTTTAATTTTGAATATATGGGGGAAAATTTATTGTTGAATTTCAATTTTGGTAGATTATTTTATGTTAAATAAAATATTTAAAATTATTTTGTCAAGTAATTTTAATTTCGAGATAAAACTTAACTAAAGTTTTAAACAGCTCATTATCCCAGCCACCTCTCAAAATTCTTTTATAAATATAAAAAAAAGTAAGGGCCTATTATTTAGACATAATTTTTAAATTAACTTTATTTCATAACTATACATTAAATTAAAATATGATGATATTAATTTTAATTTGCTCAATTTTAGCCATATAAAGAGTGATAACTCCTAAATCCATGTTCATCCCAGTCTAGGATTTTGTACAAATATAAAGCAGTGTGAATGGCACATCATGATGACAGCATAAATGGTTAAAGTTAAACTAATATGGCCTTTAATTAAGTTTCATTTTCATACCATCATGTGGAAAATAAACCTTCCTCACCTAACCCGGTAAACTAACACTTCATAGTCCCAGATTATCGAGATGTCGTGCATCTATATTTTCTATAATCCCTCTTTACCATTATCTACCCAGCCTTATTCTCTGATCCGATCTTTCCAATCATTACATATAATTATGACCTTAATAAAAATAAAAACCTATCCATTGAGATCCAGAATGACTAATCTGTTTGGGTCTACAATCTCAAGGATACTCAGTGGTGCCCGAATTTTAATGCTTTGCCCAATAATAACATAATACTTTGGTGAAATGAAAACTTTTTCACCTACACTCACCTTCAGACAAAAATAATCTTTCGCGTTAAATTAAAAATTACTTTGACCCAAAAGAATAAAATCAACAACTCCCAACCTTCAATGTACCAGAAAGCAAAATAGAAAAAAACTCAATTTATGCAACATTAAATCTGCACTAAACATTTGCAATATCAAATGATGTGTTTTCTCATAACGATCATTCAACCAATCCCTTTTATGTAAACAACCTCAAAAATATATTTCTATTACAGTTACCACCATATCCCCTGATCCACTCTCAAATTTAAAAATCATCACAGGCCATTAACTCTTTTAAAAGAACTCGGCTGGAAGTCTAGATTTAGAAATTCCTCCAGGATCTAACAATACCCATTCGATTCCACCACATCCTAATACCAGCCCTAACCAACCTTCTTAATAACATTGTTACAGCATGCATTGTATCTAAATATTTGGTGCTCGCCTCATTGCACTATCCCAAAAAGATGGAAGTATTCGTCCCAATACTATTGGGCCTATTTTACGAAAAATCATGTCCAAAATTATTTGCTGGAGGCTAAAATCAAAATTCAAATATTTTACTACCTTATCAATTTAACCTTAATATTCCAGAAGGATGCATCACATATCACATACCAACTGCTACATCAATCTAATAACACTTTTTTTTAAATTTGACTTTAATAATGAAAAAGCCCATTCCTTACTTCCTTCTGCAACACATTCTCTGAACATTCCACTTGTATAAACGTCTGCTGCCAATCGTTCTATTTAATTTTTTATGAAACGATAGAATCTAAACAAGGAATAAAACAAGAGAATCCCTTGGTCCCAGCTCTTTTATGTGAATCCATTCGCACCTTCCATCAGACAACATCAACACATGCAATGTCCTTTTACTTAGATGATGGGACAGTTGCAATTTCCTTTTAAAAATTTTAAAAAAAATTTTCCATACGATGAACTAATTAAAATTTCATTTAGCATTTCTGATCTCACTCCAATCGCAGAGTTTACCCTCAATCATAAAATGGATAAATTTTATATGCCCAACAACTTATATCCCACCCAGAAAACTTTTATATAGTCTAAAAATCTAGCTTATTTAGGAGCAACAATTGGAGGTAAAGTAGCAATATCCAAATTTAGCGAGGACTTCTTGATCAAATTCGACCGGCTTTAGAAAATTCTAGCTATTTTACTATCTCACCATTCATTTTCTTTCCAAAAAATTTCTTATACCTTTCAAAAATATTGCATGCCTTTCGAGCGCCAAAATCTCCCTCAAATATGTATATTCAACTTCAAATTCTCGCCCAATTGCAGGATGCAAGCTGCTCTACCAGGCAAATTTTTGGAAACTTCATATTTCCTGTCACAATAAGTTTTGCAGCATTTCACAACTACCATTAATCCTCATTTGGGGTTGGCTTTAGACCTGTGGAAGTTAAATGCTCGAAATGAAATGCTCCTATGTCTTTATCCTCCAGACAACGAGATTGGAACTTACCCTTGATCCCATATTCCTTTGAATTATTTTACTTGAATGTTTTGAAAGGCATTTCCTAGATCTTTAACCCAGATATCGCATTCCCAATAGGTAGTGATTCCATTAACAATCCAACATTTATACTCAAGTTAAGATTTGGCTCGAGGCTATCCCTAGCTCCAATTTGATTTACTACTTTCCAACAAATAACTTAAGGTCGTTTAGGCTGCGATATCGTCACACTCTCATCTTGCAAACTCTGTCAGCTCCCTGTCGACAGCCTAGGCCACCACCCCTTCATTGTCGCTTTCCGCGCAGCTAATCCATTAATATTACCTGAAGGACATAAATTGTTATAATCGTAATTTATAAACTTTTTTTAAAGTAAATTATAAATAAAAAAATATATTTTCAACATGTTAATTAAAGCTTTTTTTTCCTTAACACCTGTTATTTACAAGACAATAAAAAGAACTTAAGGAATTATAAAGGAAAGCACAACTCTTCAAATCTTGAGAATTTGCAAGACCTAATTTTAAAGTATTAGTTTAGATTAAATTATATTTTAATAAAAATCTAAATATTATAGGTTAGGCAAATTGTGGTAACAAAAGCTCAAAATGATTTTTATTATTTGATAATGGCCTAGGTGTTGAAGAACGTAATTATTAGCAAATATGCAATATAATATTTGAATGGAAATTTTGCTATGTCTCCAAAATATTTCATTCAATTATAGGTCACTCAAGTATCAATAAACGCTATTTTTATCAGAGCCGTTTATTGTTTAATCTAAAAAAACGCAAAATACGTATAAAAAAAATTGAAATAATTATGTCTAAATGTCAGGAAAGAGATTATTTTCTGACCCATAATATATATTCATGGATTTCGAAAATCTGCTATAAGCGTGGTTTAAAACTATCATTTATATGATTGCTAATATATTAATTTTTTAATTAGAAGATCACATCATAATCGGAGGATGATTTTACCATTTAACAAGATACACATACAAAAATTCAGAAACTAGACCAATAAAACTCTAAGCTTCTTTTGTAGTAATCGAAGGCTTAACATTGTTCCCTTGTGAAATCAAATTCCTAAGAAAGGTTATTCCGAACAATGGTAAGGATATTCTCGGTTATTTTGATAAAAATTATGGCAATGGAGTATTAAGGGAGGTCGTAAGAGGCAGCATTTTATTGTTCGTTAAAAAATACGTAACAATTTTATAAAATAAAGGTAAAATATTTTACAAATTATTCAACTTATTATAATTATTTTTAAGTGAAATTGTAAATTCTATACCCTCTAGTTATATTGGAATTAAATGAAAAATAATCTTCATTATAGAAAAGAAATTTTAAAAGTTATATGTAAAAATCATTTCATATTTGCTGAAAAAGGAACCGTAAAATGACGAATAGGTATATTTTATAAAATCCAAACCGATAATTTTTTTATAAACGCGGGCCGTTAAAATTATTTTATAAACCATGTAAAAAAAAATTTGAGACCAGGGCCGTAAAATATTTTATATAAAATAAATACAGGCCATGCTCTTTTAAAAATAACCGGGCCGGGCCTGAAAAAATAAAACCCGGGCACGGCCAAAAAAATTTATATTAAAATAAATATATTTCGTTTAAATTGTGTATGACTTAATGGGTATCGCGTCATTACAGAGAAACTTTTACAGAGAAAACAATTATAGAGAAACTTTTACAAAGAAAACCATTATAGAGAATGTCGTTTATAGAGAATTATTTTATAGAGAATGTATTTTACAGAGAAATTTTTATAGAGAAAACAATTATAGAGAATGTCGTTTACAGAGAATGATTTTACAGAGAATGATTTTATAGAGAATGATTTTATAGAGAAAGTTTTTATATAGAATGTATTTTATAGAGAATTATTTTATAAAAAAATTATGTTATAATTTTTTTTTGTAAATTTGTGTGCTCTGCATAGTCAAAGTGGGAAAAAAATTATATGAAATATTAAAATTACCTTATATAAGCTAATTATTGGGCAGTTTTTATTGTAAGAAAATTATTACAATCTGGATCAATTAAATTACGTTAAACCCAATATTATAATATATTTATATTCATTGGTTAAGATTGAAGTTTTTATAAGATAAATCTAGTTAATCTACTAAATAAGAGCATAGCATTATATATTCGAAATATCAAATAAATATTTATTCATAATAAATCCAAATAAACATAGTATAAATATAATACCAATATAAAAAATACAATTATATGATTAAATTAAACATTTAAATTTATATTGTGGGATAAAGCCCTTAAATAATCCAGCATAGTTCTTAAATAAAAATCTTCAATAATTAGAAAAATCTTTTGGATCTTTCGCGATATTCTTTCTTTGACAGCGGGGCCATTAATCCTAAAGAGTATTGTTCCAATTTGTAACAATTCAGGCTATCTTCGTCTTTGAGAGCTAAAAATGGGAAAGTTTTTAAAATTTTTAATATAATATAATTACTAACTCTTTATAAATTTCCAGATCGTTGGATGATGGGAACTTATATGAGACGAAAAACTTCGATGCCAGCCTTCTACTGAATTATTGGTATTAGGTTCACCAGCTAGTGTTGATTCGTAGCAATTCCATAGAGAAATGCTAAATATTGGCGACCTCCTCTCCATAGCTATCATTTTCCAATCCACGTCTCTTCAAAGTATTCTATAGGGGGCGAGAATATCCCTATTTTCTTGATAGAATTCAGAGGCACATAATTCCTCGAATCCATGAATTACATCCTCCACTGGTACATATGCCAGTGACATTAACATTTTTATATACATAGCAAAATTTGTTTGCGTTTTATATGCATTGCAAATTAATGAATTTTTTTGAACAGTGCGCCATATGCATTGCGACATATGAAACAGGCACCCGCGGATCGCAGGCAGTGGAATCGACTGTTTAAAAGCAGATAAGGCTGCTAATTCAAAGTCGATCATGATGAATTTAGGATTTAAAAAAATTTGGAAATTTTTTATTTGATTGAAAATATTAAGGTAATCTTGTTGGCGACGTGATGTCATCAGGACATAAATAGCTAGGATAATGGTTTTATGTTTCATCCCGTGGATGGTGTATATTTGATGGAAGAGAGGAGGACATGTCTTGAATGTGCCATCTGCTACCATTTTTCACATGTTGATAAAAATTTTAAATTTTTTATAGTTGAAAATATGAGGCATCGGTGATCATGATGACCACTATCATATAACAAAAATTGTTCATCATTATTGGATAATTGATATTCAATAGGTATGACCAAGTCAATCAGGCTTAAGGGAAGGGCAGGCGCTCTTCCTACTTGGCGTCTTTTTCTTTGAATTGTCCTTTTAATTAAGGAACAACTAGGCATTTTCCCAATGGAGGCTATAGATATATTGCTAGATATATCGGCCATTATATTATTGGGCAGAGATTGGGTACTAGAAGCCTCTTGTTTGATTTTATTCATCTCTTTTCTTGCTTCAATATCAGCAATGTCTGGTACATGATTATGTTTTTTATTGTGGAATATAGGTATTCCGTTCTTAGTTCGGGCGCGCCCACTGCATTCATCCACATGATTTGATAAAAGATAACTATAACTAGTTACATTTACAAAAATCCTAACTGTAGCTGACTACATTTTATACAAAGTAACTGTCCAAAGTAACTAGTTACTCTTAATAAATATATTTAAATAATAAATTTATATTTTTTTACATTATAATATTATACAGAGCTGATTGCCCTGAATTTACTATCCACTTGATACTAATATAATTGTAACCTTCTAAAATTTTATTTAAACACGATATAAGATTATAAAACTTTCTAAAATTCGAAAATAGTGTTTTTATAATTTTATATTTTAATTCTTAATATTTTGCCGATTGTAATAATTTTCTTACAATAAAAACTGCCCAATAATTCGCTTATATAAGGTAATTTTAATATTTAATAATATTTCATATAATTTTTTTCCCCCTTTGACTATGCAGAGCACATAAATTAAAAAAAAAATTTATAACATTTTTTATAAATTAATCATATTTAAAATTTTTTTTTTTATAAAATAATCATATTCTTTAAATAATTATTTTTTATAAAATAATCATATTCTTTAAATAAATTTTTTTATAAAATAAATTCTCTATAAAATCATTCTCTGTAAACGACTTTCTCTATAATTGTTTTCTCTATAAGTGCATTATCTATTATTGTTTTCTCTATAAAGGTTTCTCTGTAAAATACATTCTCTGTAATGGTTTCTCTGTAATGACGTGGAACCGACTTAATGTAATGTAAAATAATCGTTTTGCAATATTTTTTTTTTAAAAATTTAATAATTTTCCATGTTTTAATATAAATTCTATGTTTTAAATTAGCATATGCTATGTTAGAAAGAAAGAAAGAAAGAAAGAAAGAAAGGAAGAAAGAAAGAAGGAAGGAAAGAGAGAAGGAAGGCGAGAATTTATTTAAATATAATTTAATTTTGAGATTCGAGTTAGAAAGAAAAATTGAGATCTTATCTGTGGCATCCTATGTTATTTAAAATTCCAATTCCATCGAGTATTTATGATGTTTATATATGTTATTTAACCATATTAGAGGAAGGTTCTTCAAAATCTTCCAAAAACTAAATAATAAAGTAAAAACACTATGAATTATTTGAAACCGTTGTATATGTATGCTATAGTTTACTAAATAATATGTAAAAATAAAAATATTTCTGTCATATATAAATCATGTTGCGATATAATAATCCTATTTGAATTTATGTTTTACGATTCTTTTATATATAGTATATGCTCTGTAAAACTGTGCAATATTAATGATCAGGCTGTTGATAGTCTTTTTAAAAATGGAATACCAAAAAGTACTATTTTAAAAATGGGATACCAAAAAGTACTATTTTAAAAATGGGATACCAAAAAGTACTATTTTAAAAATGGGATGCTAAAAAAAGCTAATTTAAAAAGAGCTATATATAAAAGATTTACTAAAAACGCATCTATAAAAGGTACTCGAGGAAAATTTTTACCACCTAGGGCAGGGTGAATATCTTATATAACGTTATCGCAGGTTCTGCCTAGAGAACACTATTATATAACCTACAAATTATGTTTTCTAAGTGTTATTTCAATAAATTAATATCTTGCTGGTGGATGCATATTCAAATTAATCTTAAAATAATTGATTCATTACATGTTTTTCTAACATATATTTACGGGCGGAAAAATTAAGGGGTAACGGTAAGTGCAAAAATTTCCAAGGCGGAGGAAGGCTGGGAGCTTTAATGGAAACGCAATCGTTGAGCCAATGAGCAGATATGCACCGTCGATTGCAAGACAAAGCCTTCCATTTGTTTATTTAAAAAATATATAAATTATAGCTAAAGTTAATTATATCTCAAAAAATTCGGTGTTTATTTTCCTGTTTTTATTCATATCAGTTAGATTGGAGAAATAAATCTTATAAAGTGATAACTATTCCATGTCAAATCGACCAAAAAAACGAGTTTTCGGAAGACCATCTTTAAAATCAACTAATCTTGGCATGATAGTTATTTATGTTGTATATGTTAATAAAATCAAAATTTTAGAGTGCTAGATCAACCAGATCCAAAGATATACGCCTTCGAAAATAGGGCAATGCGTGATTTATTAAATCTTGTTTTTTTTAAAATACTTAAGATAGAGTTACAAATTATATATAATTTAATAGCCCTTTAAATTTTACATTGGAAAACATCAAACAAAAAATTTAAAATTTTAAGTATTTTCTTATTTCAGGTAAAAATAAAATATTAACACTGTTAGGAAGGGATTTTTTTGGGTGTTGATATTCTCTATAAATATTTATTACCTTTATATTTAACGATTTAATAAAAATCTCGATAGCCATTTTTGTTTTTTTAATTTTATTAAAATCTTTATTATTTTTATAAATAAAATAATGTAATATAGATGGCGTTATATTAAAAAGATTTTATAATATAATGTATTTAATAAAAATATGTATTATATTGGTATTATAATTAAATAAATCGATTAAATATAACCAAAATGATATCCTAGGACAATAAGTAAGGAAGCAGCTCATACAGATATGATTATTATTAAGACGCTATATTGTAAAATAAACATTTTATAATTTTATATTCAAACTATTATGAAAACATCTCTTATTTTTATCATATTCCATTTTGCGCTTATTAATAGAAATTCCTAAGGCCATAATTTGTAGCCAATCAATTCAGCAAAAAGCCAAGCAAAATATATTATTGCACTGACGTATCAGCTGCGCAATATAAAAACAAAAATTTTTATAAATATGTGTTATCATGAATCAGATTTTGATGTAGCAGCTAAATGACATTTTTCAACTACATCCGATGGAAAAGGTCCATGTGACGGCCTATAGGGGCATTAAAAGATTATCAGCACGTTCAAGCCTTCAGCGCACCAGTTCTGGACACATTTTAACACCAGTTCAAATCAGTTTGAAAAACAAAACATGCCATCAGTAAATTTTACATATATAACCAACAGACAATACAATTTAGAAGAGATTAAACGACTTGAAAGATTCAATTAAGCTTGCCCCCAGGAACTCGGGAAATACATGCTGTATTTCCATTGAGTTTAAGTAAACTTAAAAAATATATTCATATAAAGAGGACTTATAAATTAACAATACTCAAATGCCGATAAATAATTTCTCTTTTGCTGATATTAAAGGATTCGTAACATGTGTTTATTACGATTTTTATAGGTTAGACAGTACTAAAAAAGAATGAAATTACTGAGGAGATATATATTTCCTTTTTAAACCCCATGAACCATTACCATCAATTATTTACCCCACAACTGAGGGAAAGATGCCCATTAATCAAATAAACAATTACAGATACAATAACAGTGACAGGACGTACCTACAAATTATCGTCTCAGGAAATTCTATTAATAAGCGCAAAATGGGATAAGATTAAAACAATTTATTTTTTTTAATAATTGTTTGTATATAATTTTAAAATATATCGTCCTAAAACCATATCCTTATGGGCTGCTTCCTTACTTATTGTCCCAGGATATCATATTGGTTATATTTAATCGATTTATTTAAATTTAATACCAATATAATATATATTTTTATAAAAATCTTTTTAATATAACGCCATATATATTACTTTTTTAATTATAAAAATAAAAAATCTTAATAAAATTAAAAAAATTAAAAAAACAAATTTATTTATTATATAAATGTAATAGACTTTTTTAAAGAATATCAACACCCAATCCCTTCCTAACAAGTAAATTTTATATTTTTACCGGAAATAAGAAAACAATTGGAATTTTTTTAATTTTTTTTGTAAAATTTTAAGGGCTATAAAATGATATATTATTTGTAACTCTATCTTAAGTATTTTTAAAAAAAATAAGATTTAATGTAATCATGCACTTCGAGATTTTCGACTTTGATGCATATATCTTTGGATCTGGTTGAGTTAGCACTCTAAAATTTTGATTTTATAAGCATTTACAACATAAATAACTAACATGCTAAGTTTCATTCATTTTTGAGATGGTTGGCCGAATCACTGGTCGATTGTCACGAAATTACCCATATGAGTTCCTTCCTCTTAACTCAAGTGCTGACATCAATGTCTTGGTGTAAACTACTAATAAAAAGAGATAGCTAATAATTTTTTGATTGCTTTATTCATAGAATAGTATAATGTAGGCCTATGTCAGACTAACCGGGAACTAGACCCCTTGGGGATACATGAGCGAAAGTGGTGGCAAATGACAGAAAATTTTTTGTCATTGGGCTGGGCAAATTTTTAGAAAATTGTATTCAGATACAGATGCTTTTCAAACTTTATATCTAAAATAGAAGATACTTGGTAAAAATTTCAACTAGATACAAGATACTGTATCTTATTTTTTTAAATAACTATGATACATGATACTTTTTAAAAAAAACTTAAAAATATCCGATAATAGAAATTTATAAAAATCATGTAAATAAATTGCGATTTTTATTCATTGTCATAGTCAGTCCTATGATTTTAAAAATAGGGGAGAGAAACAGTGGATACATTATAAAAGCATTATCAAATTCATAAATAATTTTAAATATTCTATTAAAAGGTATCCTTCTATTGCTATATCTAACTGTCATAATTATATTGTATCTCCTCCTGGTATGACAATTTTGCTCGGTAAAAGGAACAAATATATTTTAAAAAGAATATAAATAATCAAATCATAATTCAAATTAATAACCTCTATTATCTATCAATATTTTAATCAATTATAGATGACTAGTTAATAACCCGTCAAGAATGACGGGGTTAAGGGGTAATTAGTTTGTGTATAAGGTACTAAATAAACTTTATTAATATTTAGGCGAAAAAGAGGTAAATTTGTGAAGCACACCTCATAAGATATTCTTAATTTCTGATTCATCTATCATCGAATAAGGGAGAAAAGTATGATGACCCGTCTTTCTTGAAGGGTAAAATGAAATATATAACTAAGAGTACCAGAGCTCCCGTTAGTCAGCATTGCTGAGTTCGTCAAAAATGGCGGGACATGAGAATTTTCTCCTTACTCTTATGATAGTTGTTACCTGTTATTTGCAAATAATAACCAATTTTTATTCTTTATAACCCCCTCCCCCTTTCAAGCCAGGTCCAATCCATTAAAACTAAGTGTAAATGCTATATTTGAGTTAAAAGATATTTAAAGCTTTAACTTAATACCCATATCAATATTATTTGTTAAAATTACTGATCACCTATGCCTAAATATTGAAAAAATTCCCAAGTAAGGTCCAAGGCCATAATAAATTTGAAAAAATTTCCCCAACCAAAGATCAGAATAATTTTGGTAGTTGAGAACTGGATGGGCCTTGGTATTTTGATCAGGCCGAGCCCAGGCCTGCAAAAAAATTTGTTTTAGGTCAATGTCTGATCCAGTTAATAAAAAAAATCCCAAGCGTCCAAGCTGATAATTATTTAAAATATCTTTCCCAAGCCCAGCCCAATATAATTTATAAAAATATTTTTCAAGCCCAGCCTGACCGATTATAATTTTTAAAAAAATTTCTCAAACCTGGCCAACCGATAATAATTTTGAAATTGTTTTCCCAAGCCTGGAGCTTCCAATAAAAAAGAAAAATATTGATATATTTAAATTACTTTATCATAATATAGTTTCATATATAAGAATTGTATTACAAAATTTAATATAGAAGGGGGGTGACTGGAAAGAACGTTTGTCTATCGAATGTTAAGTGATGTGGTTCGAATCTCGTTGATGTATAAAAATAAATTAAAATAAAGTTTTCTTTAAAAAATAATTTAACATTAGAGGTATATAGTCTCCTTCGATTTATTTAACATTAATATGATAGAAAAGTTGATACGAAAAATAAAAATTAACATTAAGATGATATGAAAGTTAATACCAAAAATAAAATAAAGGTTACACGAAAACGTTCATTTCTTGATTACGGCGATTATATATTAGATTTCTTAGATACTATTTCAATTCATTATCTATCAATCATCAATATAAAAATTTATTAAACTTAAAAACTTTCAAGTTTAACTTATAAATGATATAGAATATGAAATGAAGGTCATTATAAATCTGATTTTAAATAAATTTATATAATATACTTTTAGATCCTTGGCGAAATTGAACGATAAGTCTGCAGAGCCATTTATAAAAAGTTTAAAAAAGATACAAGATGTAAAAGCATCTTTTACCTTATATACAAATTTCCTAATACTGCCCAACCCTGCAAAAATTATGATAATGAAAATATCAGAGAGGGTAACAACTAGGTCAGAATAGGATTGCAGACCATTAAACTCTTTGAGTTTAAAGTAATCAAACTGAAAAATACCCAAAAAAATTTTGAATATATTGATTGTTAAAAATAAAATGATTTCTTAAGTAAAAATCATTAAATCATTTGTAACCTTTTTAAAATTGTCAGTTCTGGTGGAGCTTAAAAAATGAGTGTAATTTTGATTCATCGACTCGACTATTTCTCCGCCATATTGATTTATAACCTGAATTATAAATTTTTTTAATAGTTGTTTACCCAATAAATAGAAAAGGTGTTTAAGGAGATGAGATTAACTACAATTAAACTTTTCTAAAAATGTCATTCCATATCAAATATGTAAAAAAATTTGAAGCCTTTGATAGTACCATATAATTTATAAACTTTTGAATAAAGGTTATAGAAGCAAAACAAAATTCTAGCTTGCTAGTTAAATTACCTAAGCTAATAGGGGTGAGTCAAAGGTGCAAAAATCAGCTAATTTTACCTTTTCTAATATTAAATATATTGCAAAAAACCGAAAATTTATAAATTATGAAACATATCCAAAATCTTCCATTAAAAATTTTGAATTATATAATTCCTTCCATATTATTTTTATACTTCCCGTTTAGTTTAAGCACATCCTATTTTGATTAATATAACAAAACAAACTGTCCATTTCTTATTTTAATGAAAAGTATAAATTAATGTTATTTACTTAATTTGTAAAAATTTCACAACTTTATAAACTTTAAGCTAAAATTTATTTTAATTTATTAATTAATTTAATAGACCACTATTTTATTTTTACATTAAAAAATAGATTATTTATTTTTCGTCAGTTAATAAATTAAATTAATTATATTTTTGATATTTAGGTCATAGCCTTAATTAACAACGAAATAATATTAAATATTTTTATTATATTATAATTTTAAAAAATATAATATATAAACGGCCATTCAATAAAAACGGAAGTGGGATTACAAATTTCTAAAAAACAAACAATTATATTTTAAAACAATATTGCATTTTTTGTTTTAGAAAAAAAATGTTTTGAGTTCTAATCGCTAATTGCTTTAGTTCTGCAACAAAACCTAAATTTCCACTTGACATATGTTCAATAGAAAAAATTAGGGCTGTGCCGATCCATATATTTTCACCGATCCGTTCCAATATTAGTTAAAACCGATCCGATGCCGATATTTATATTGATTTTTCACCACCCCTCTTTGAACCAAAGGTAATTAAGATATCAATATTTTATATGCAAAAAATCGAATCATGTATTTAATTTAATTTTTTTATTTCTACAATTTTAAAAAAGTTTACGGATATTGGTAGTATTAAATGAATTTTTCATTATTCCTCCCCATGAAATTAGAATTCCGCAGATAACGCATTTTGCAAAATTATCTTTGTCTTTTGTAAAATATTTCAATAATTCAAGATACCATATTTAAAAAAACTCTTTTATTTAAATTAAAGTATAAATAATAAAACTGGCGTTATTATTTAAAAGATTTAAAATAAATAAAACTTTTGCCAAATTTGGTTATAATATATATTAAAACGTGATTTTCGCGAAGAGTCTGTCTGCCAATCCGAGTTCTGGGTTCGAATCCAGTAAGCATGTTTTTTTCTGAAACCGTAGTTCCTTCTTTGGGGGGGGATGATATATAGTAAATCGGACTCAACCAAGTGATTCCGTTAATATATATCAAAAAATAAGTGGATCTTATTGCATTTTAATAAATTTTGGTAGTTGTTTAGTAAATTAGGTTGTTATATAGAATTGATATTATTGTTAATAGGTAGTGTCTATCATAAACCTAATCTCGTTCCTATTTTATGTATTTTGTTTTTATCGAATGAATATATTAATAATATTTTTTTTAAATAATAATTGACATTGATATTAAATCAAAAAAACAACAATACAACCTTTTTCCAGGATTGCAGGATATGACTAGGAATACACTCGTTATAATCATCAATGTAAAAGATACATCCTAACAAATTTAGATTTACTGGTACTATAATATTTTTTTTAATTCAAAAATTTTAGATAGGCGTTTGAAGTTGGTTAAATATATATTCCCAAAATTTAAAAAGGCATAATTATCATGGTAGGTTCACTATAAAATAGTATTAAAAAACATCAAAAAACCGAGTAAGGTACTTTAAGGACCATTAAATAGTAAAATTGCTAGTCAATAAAGAACTTACTTTCTGTTTGGGACAAATCTAAATATGAGCAAGTTTTGTCATCCTGTGTGGGTGGGAAGGCGTCAGTTATGATCTTAGTTAGTTGCTCATTAATTGTTTTCTCAGATCCCTTTATATCATATTTATTTCTATCATTAGCATCAAAGTCTTTGCCGACTCCTCCATATTCGTCTCGAGTTACTTCAATATTCTCATTCCTTATATTTTGGCATAATGCTGGATTTTCGAAAGAGCTCACATTAGATTCTTTGATCTTGGAGTCAATGTCTAACTGTTTGACCAAATATCGTGGATTATATTTTTCGTATGGAATAATCGAGTTGGTACATGCACAATCAATCAACCAATCAGGAGTTACTATAAAAAAATCGTTTAATCCTCCTTTGTGACTAAAATCAACGTGGGGGTAATCATTTCTGAGTGAATCTTGCTTCAATAATAAAATAGGCGAAATAATTATATTATAATTTATGTACCAAACCCAGATTTTCGATTAGTTGCAAACTTTTTAGGTCTCTTATAATTAAAACTTAATTAATTCAGTAAAATATTGTATTTAAAAAATCAGTCACAGAGATTAAACTATCAAAATTTTTCAACAATGCTAGTACCCCATTTATCACCTTATATTTTAAATTATCAATTTATTATCCTTTAGGAAAAAATTATATAATAAATCAGTGACGCACCAAAACCATTGAGCCTGATACTCATGGTACCTATCTATTCTTTGCTAATACCACGGGCCGAAATATTATTCCGCCTTTAAAAGGTTAATTGAATAATTTTTCGATAAAATTTCTAACTCAAAAATTACATTTTCTTGAAAAATAATAAATAATTTTATAATTTATCATATGAATTGTTAGTTTTTTAAACTTATTTTTTCTTTATAAAATAATCTAAAGTTACCTCATTTGCGCTTCCCTGTTTTTCAGATTAATATTTTTAAAAAAATTTAAAGCTTTTATTACCTTTTGGTTTATATGAAATTAAGATTTTACAGACGCGCTCTTCTAGAAAATAAAATAACTATAATCCGTTAACTCATTAAAAATAGATGCCTAATGGAATTTATGTTCTTAGTTTCGATTTTGATTATTTCTAGACTTATCAGTCCCAATATAAGAAAATTTTATTTAACCTTTATTAAGCCTAATAAAATTAAAGATTTATTCTATCCTTCCTTTTGGGAGGGGCTCCACTCTTTCATCTATTCCTATCGTCTAGGCTTAATTTTTGATCGAAGCTTTTTTCCAGGGATAAACTATCCATTAGTAATTAAATATTTCGGAAATAATACAACTAATAGACTATAAAAATCTTAATATGCAAGAAATATCCAAAATTTTTGAAGTGATCATTAGATTAAGAAATTAAATGATCAATCCTTCCCATTTTAAATCTTAACTTATTAGGACCTTTAGACAGGGATCCAAACAGAACCAAATATCGGTTCGGTTCGGATAAAAATAAGGATTCAAGGTTCAGGTTTGGTTCGTAAAAAATAAATATATCGGTTAGGTTCGAATCTCTAAAAATCGGTTTGAACATTTTTGTATTCAAATCTACATTCGAATTATGTATAAGTAGGTATATTATTTTTATTTCATCATTAAAATAAAAAAATTATACATAAAACCTTATTTTTATTGATTGCAGATTATAAAATAATATTTAAATTATAAATAATACAAATAAATATCAATTTTAATATGAACAATATTTAACTTTATTTACTTAAAAAATTTTTGTTAGGCAGCACAATTAATATATTTTCAAGATTCGTCTTACTCAAATTACATCTATAGAGAGATAGTATAAATTTAATTGTTGAAAAACATCTTTCCACATTAACTTGTGCAGCTGGCACTGCCAGTATGATATCAAACAATTTGCATAATTCTGGGCATCGATTACTCTGATCTCCAATAGTTTAAAATATTCATATTTGTATTTAACCTAAGTTCTTTTGAAAAATTAACTATAATATTTATTTCTTTGATTATTATTTGCCAAATACTTAAGGATTATTCTGCAACATTAAATTGAATATTTTAAGAATTAATTTTAATTTTACCCACGTCTTCTAATATAGGATTTTTTTTAAACCGCTATCATCGATTAATTTGAATGGTCTGCCATTAGAAGTGACCAACTCAGTACAAGCATCAATTATTATTTTTTTTTATTTAGTTTAACTGATATTGTTTTGTTCTATTAATGCTTCTTCTATCGTCTGTTGGCTTGATGACATCTTAAACTTTTTTATTTTATTAGGCTTTTGTTTGTTGTGATATTTTGCTAATTTTATCGAATTCTAGATGGTGGTTTCTTTTTATGTGACGCTCAAGATTTATGATGGCCTTTCATATTTATTTGACATCAGTAATATTACATTTTGATGTGTCATTTATAATACTATATGTGAATAATTTTTATATTGGATTTAATGTTCTCTAGGCATAATAATTTATAAACTTAAAATATTTAAAATATGCTGTAAAATGGCAATATACCAAAGTTTATAAAAATTATGACTGACACTTATCAATCAAATGATTGATAATAATTTTTAAAACGATTCGAATAAATTTTTTCAATATACTAGTAATAACTTATATATTATTTTATAGGCATAAAATCATGAGGCTCGAACCAGTTCAGAGGCATTTTAGCGGTTCGGTTCAGGTTCGGCTATAAATATTTTAGCGGTTTTGGTTCGATGAATATAGGTTTTTAGCAGTTTAACGGTTCGGTGGATCCCTGCCTTTAGGATTTCATTACTTCATAAAACATTCTAAAAAAATTTGTACCTCGAACATTTGTATTGAACAACATCAAACTATTGAAACAATTATTTTAGATGAAACATAAAGAATGGCAGACATGTCAGACAAACCTTTAAACTTGGGAAATCTGAAATAAGGTGAGTTATGGATATAGGTCTTTCGCCAATATTTTTGGAAGAAGATGACTTAATCAGTGTACCACCATTGTACGTGACTAGAGCCCATATAATATCAATATCACTTTTCTTGAGATATTCAAAAAAAATTATGCATTAGTTTACTTGTGTGTGGTTTAATAATTATAATAAATGAATATTTATGTTTTAAATTTAATGAGGAGTTTGTAAATATTGTAGGCACAGGGTAAAAAGATTAAATTCTAATAATTGTAATTTATGCAGTGCCCTCATCATGGTGCAATAATATTTTTAGATTCGTTTGGGATTGGAACTTATTTATGATTCTATAATATTATGGTTCTGGGTACCCCGTTTAGAAGAAACTTTCCTCACCCCATCTCCTTTTTTAAGGTATTTTTTTACAAATTTTATATTATCATCCCCTTCATTCCTAATTATTTTAAATAAAAAAATATTTGTATTTTTTTCTATATATTTTCTTATATAATATAAAATATATCTATTATTAACCCTTCAATACTCCGGTGAAAAAAATGACGTTAGCACTCGGGTGGGGTTTAATAGATCCCAATTTCAAATGTATATCTCCAGTTATATTTAATATTTTTATTTAATATTTGGATATAAGATAGAACTAACCTTAGACTTGATAAAATATTTATTTATTTTTATTTTTTAAGCTTAGATTAAAGATGATGAGGATAATTATAATTTGTGCCAAAATTTTCTAAAAAAGGCTTACTTTTTTTAAATTTCAAATATTAAATTAAAAAATTAACTTATCTATCATATACAGTGAAAGGGGGGATATTTTTTACCAGATGTTAAAACAAAATAAAATGATACTATTATATTTTTATTTTAATCATACTTAAACATTAATCTATGTTAAAAAAATTTTAAACAACTTTTTTTAAAAAAAAAACTTTTTAAAAAAACATATTTTTTCACATAATTTAATATTTTTGTATATTTAATTTAATATTATTTTCAATCTTATAATGTTTAATATAGACTACATTCTTTATAACTTTAATACATCTCCTTTACTCTCAAGTACTTCTGTAAATTATTCTTTGCCAATCTCAGATGGGAATGATATGGAAAATTATCAATCACATTCTAATATTTCTGCAAATAATAATTCTTTAGCAACTATTAATGAAAATATAAATCATTCTCAAATATCATCCATTCCTAAACCCAAAAGAACATACAATTGTTGGAACAAAGATAAAATTGAAATGGTAATGAAAATATTAGCAATGCCAGAGGAAGAACAGATGAAGGTTAAGGACATTGCTAAATTTGTTAATATGTCGAAGGCATCAATACATAAAATAAAACGGGATACATTCCCAGAAATTATTGGTGAGCCCTTAAAGGAATTCTCGCTTAAACAAAGGGGGAGAAAAATTAAAGACACAGCAAATATTGAAAGGCAAATTATGGATTTGCTAATCGACAATAATACCTTCACGGTGAAGGATATAATTGAGAATTTGCCCTCTGGTTCTCCAAAAAATATTGGAACTATAAGGAAATATATTAAAAACCCGATGTCCAAAAAAGAGCTGGGAAAGAACCAGATCGCAGGAATACACCAGGAGCTATCAATATTCGACAGGTGTATTGCCGCAAATTGCTGAACATCTCCAGAGAAAGACTCTATTTTCTCGACGAAACAGGCATCAATTTTCATGTTGTACCTGTCTATGCTTGGGCACCACTCAACGTTAGACCATTAATAAAGGTGCCACCCTCAAAAGGGAAAAATGTAAGTGTACTTTGCACTATAGGAATTTGTGGAGTTATACATTATAAAATCATCGAAGGATCATATAATGGTATGTTATTCAGAAATTCATTAATGGATATTATTAGTATATTACCACCAGATGACATATTAGTTATGGACAATGCGTCAGTACATAAAAGTCATCTAATTGATGACTATAAAGAGAGAATTGAATATCTTCCCCCATACTCACCACAATTAAACCCAATTGAAATTTTTTTCGGGGTTTTCAAAAACAAGTACAGGTCATTAATTCCCAGACCAAGTACAAGGGAACATATAATAAATAATATTAATCAAATAATGAATCAATTTATTCCATATGATTTTACAAATTTCTATAATCATATGCAACATTATTTGGAGCTGGGCTATCGTGGACTACCTCTTGACTAAAGTAATCTAATTATATAATAAATTACGATTAACATTTTTTAATATTTATAGGTACTATTTAAGCAAGCAATTTATGACTATGAACTATCATTAAATATTTCATATTTTATTAATTAATATTCATGTATTAGTGTAATTACGAATATATTTCTTATTATATATAATTATATGTATTATACGAATTGAATAAAATATTAAATTAAAGTTATGTCTCAAATATGATAAAATAAAGTGAGAGAAAAAAACTATTTTCAGAAATAAAAGATTCTGACTAAGATCTTACAACTTAAATGAATAATTTATCATTATATTTAAAATTATTCTACATAAAATATCGTTAACTACGTAAAAGAAAATATGTGATGACAAAACTTTTTATATTTTTTTATAAAAAATTTTTTTTAAGTGTGACATTTAAAAAAGTTGTTTAATATTTTTTTAACATAGATTAATGTTTAAGTATGATTAAAATAAAAATATAATAGTATCATTTTATTTTGTTTTAACATCTGGTGAAAAATATCCCCCCTTTCACTGTAATCATGATAATTCATAATATGGATCTTTATTCTTCAATATAAAAAAAAAATTACATTAATACATTCAAACATAAAAGAAATATAGAACATTGAAATATGTTAAATTTGACATGCAAAACATTTATTACATAAAACATTAATGTTTTCTAAACATAAATTAATTTTATATATTTGAAAAAAAATATTTTGTTTTTTTATTTTGATGGTTAGATTTAAAAATTCCGCTAAATAGATTTCCCAATAATGTCTTGAATTGTGTTACATCAACTTCTTTAGTAGAACTTTCATATTGGTCAGTATAGTTTTTACATATAATTTTAATTTTTTCGTTGGTATGATAAAAAATCTCTTCAATCATTTTTAGTGTTATGAACAAGTCAAAACATTTTTCTGGAGTGTCAGCTTCTTTCCCTTATTCTTTTACTCCTGGCAGATAAATAACTAAATTTTGTTGATGAGTTCTTATTCTTTGATTAGGAAGAAAATTTTCTTCTTACTTTTGTTACTTGTTATTTGAAAATAATATCCAATTTTTATTCTTCTTACCCCCTCATCCCTTCAGGCCAGGTTTAATCCATTAAAACTAAGTGCTATGGTTTGAGTAAAAATAGATTTAAAGCGTTTACTTGATAATACCAATATTATTTGTTAAATATTACTGATTACTTATATTTAATATTAAAAAAAATTCCCAGGCAAAGTCCAAAGCCATATTAATTATGAAAAATTCTTCCAAGCCCAATGAAAGATCATAATAATTTTGGCAGTTAAGAACTGAAATAAAATATTTAAATAATCATAATGAATTTAAAAATACAATCAAAATTCAGATTTTCATGGGCCATGGTTTTTTGATCAGGTCAAGCCCAGGCCTGCAAAAAAATTTGTTTTGGGGCCAATGCCTGACCTATAATTAATAATAAAAAATTTCTCAAGCGTCCAAGCTCATAACAATTTTGAAAAATTTTTCCCAAGCCCAGCCCAATATAATTTATAAAAATATTTTCCAAGCCCAGCCCAACCCATAATAATTTTTTTTAAAAAGTTTTTCAAACCTGGCCAACCGATAGTAATTTAAATTTTTTTTCCAAGCCTCAAGATAGGTAAATCTCTAAAAACCATTAGTCTATTTTAACCCAGCTCACCCCAACCAAGGCCAACCCCCATTAAGACTAAGAGTGAATACTATTTTTTTTGAATAAAAATATATTTAAATTAGATTTTACCTGACCATATAAATATTCGGTGTTAAATATTACACCTATGCCTAATATTAAAAAAATCCAAGCCAGGTCCTCGCACTTGGTTTTCTCAAACCCGCAAAAGACCATAATAATTTTGATAGTTGAGGACTGAAATAAAATATATAAAAAGTCACAATGCATTTAAAATGGTTTTTTGAACAGGCCTGGCTATGTCTGCAAAAAAATTTCAGACCAATCTATAACCCATATTTAAAATTCAAAAATCTTAAAGCACCTCTATTTTAAATTTTATCCAATATGATTTCCATCACATTTTAAATTTTGATATTTCTAATACATGCTCACAGTATACATTGCAACAATTTTACCTCTTTTACTCTTAAATTTTAATATTTATATAAAATTTATTAATAAAGTATATTTAATACCATACACACAAACTAAATAATTACACTTCAACATCTATATAATTAATATTTTAAATTTAATTATGTTCAAATTGGTGCATGCGTGAAACTTTAATATATATATAATTAATATTTTAAATTTATTTATATTCAAATTGGTGCATGCGGTAAGCATATTCCTTTAAAACGGGAGGCTCGAGTTCGATTCTCGTAGAGAGCAAAAAATTAACATTACACTATATAGTCTCCTTTAATTTAAAATACATTAGGGAGATACGAAAACGATCGTCTTATGTTTATGAAGATTTTATATTAGATATTGTCATAATCACCACAAATAAAATGATATTACATTTTAAATAATTATATATTTAGTTTAAGAATTTACAAAATCATTATAAATGATAAAAATAATTTGAGAAATGAGTCAGCTGGTGAAAAATAAGAATAAAATAACTCCACCAGAGAAAATTTTTACGTTTTCTTTTTCATATATCTCTTCAAAATATAAGATATTTAAATTTTATTTTAATAAATATTAAAATATAGTAGTATATATTTATAATTTTAAATATTTTTTAAAAAAAAATTTCTTAAAAAATTACAAATTTACTATGGTGGGGTCTCACAAACCCCAATCAGTCACAAAAAGTTTATATCTTAAAAACTAATCAACCAAAATATATGAAATTTGGAATATAGATTCTAATGTAATATCATTTCTAGCATGCCTGGGGTTTCATACACACCACCAGAGTAT